AAAACAACTAGGCACATGCAGACTATAACCATAGGAATATAGATTTCTATTCCTAATGCTATATAGTCTCATTAAGAAACATTCAATTCCATTTATGTCAACCTTTCGTATATACCTGTTATTTGCGCTTTTGCAAAATAAATTAAAGGGACACTATAGTCACCCAGACTACTTTAGCTCAATGAAGTGGTCTGGGTGCCAGGTCCCTCAGGTTTTAACCATTCAGATGCAAACATAGCAGTTTCAGAGAAACTGCTATGTTTACATTTGGGGTTAATCCAGCCTCTAGTGGCTGTCTTCCGGACAGCCATTAGAGGCGCATCTGCGACGCCGGAGGCATATTATGTAACATTTAAATATATAAAGGGAATCAACACATTGTTTAGTGGATAGGTGAGTGCGCTGGATCTTGTGTATTGTGTTATTTGGCCCCCAGCAGCACCCCCATTTATGCATGTTCACGTGAGTGCAGCCAACTCTTGTTTCATATATATATATATATATTTGGGATTCTAGCCAACTCCTTGGTTTTGCACCCCTCCCTGTCACAGGTGCCTCATCCCAGGGCCCTATTTAGCCTTGTACTGCAGAGAGCCCCAGATGGAATTTTTTTTCCTCAAGTAAGTGGTTAATCTCATAAGAGCAGACATTAGGCTGTTAGTAGCAGAAAAAAAATGGGGGATGGGTCTGCGCCGATGTGTACACTGAGTGTTGAGTCCAATGTTTATTGTCGTGTCCAAAGTTCTACTTTTGGTGGGGTTCAGAAGGTACGGTATCGTGGAGAGTAGTCCAAATATAAGAAGTAGAAGAGATCTTACTTACAATTAACAGAGCTTAACCCAGCTCTGGTGTGGATAGCTTGCAGCGGTATTATCCCCGCTTACAGGATATTCGGCAGGTATCCTCTTCTTTGTAGTAACAGGTGGCCGTAGTTGGGGAAAATAAAATGAAGACAGTAATGGTGCAGTATGTTCTACACTGATAAAAAATATAATAAAATATGGTAGATACACTCACATTCGATGGAGCTTAGGCTAGCTCTAGTTGGTTAGGCGTACAGCGGTATCATCCCCGCTTATGGGATATATGAGGAGTGATCTTGATCGGAGTATCAGGAGCTCGAAGAGAAGGTAAAACAGCGATAGTGCTCTCAATAAAATCTTGAATGGTAAAATAAAATAATAAAATATACTCACAGTGTATAGGGCAGGCTAACTGCTCTATGTAACAGCGTAGGTGGTATAATCCCCACCTGGGATTCTTGGAGTATGGTATACAGGACTTAAAATAATAAAATAATAAAAAAAATAAATAAAAAAAAAATTTAAATAAAAAATAGAAAGTTATTAAAATAGCCAGGTAATAGAAAAGATGATGGTTTGTACGTAAAAATGACCAAAATCTTTTATTAACAATATATAAAATAGTATAAAATATCCAAACGCGTTTCACCAATGTAAGGCTTTATCAATGGATAACAAACAATTCTACCTGGCTGGTTAGGGTTTATATAGGTATAAAATAATTATAAAATTGGCGCCAAAATTGTACAACCAATAGTTAAACAGATCTTTTTTACACTTTCATAACAACAATTCTTAATAAAGGTTAGATTTATATAACTTATATAATGCTAATAACATAGGTTTTATACAAAAACGAGCATTTATTACATTGTATTTACATTTTAAAACTGAACCATGTGACGCGCGTCATTAGCGCGACGTCACTTCCGGTTCGGCGAGGTCATGGGACATGTAGTCTGTAGCTAGACTACATGTCCCTAATGCAAATAGAGCCCAAC